CTATACTTCTTCCATTTCAGGAAAAAAAAACCTACACTTAGAAGAAATATAATTAATTTGATAGAGGTGCTTCCATTTACAGCTGTCTTCCACTAAACATCCAGTTGTGGCTTTCATTACAAGGTTACAGGCTCAAATGCCTAACTAATTCAAAACAAGGAATTCAGGCATAGTTGATGATATATACAGGTGGAAGAAGTGATGAAACACGCATTGTTTATTACAGTGAAAACCCTGCTTCTGATGTATTTGCATGTGAAATTGCAACACGCACAAAAGCACGGAGCTTTCATTTTGATGTCACAAATACATACGGTATGTTATTTTGGATTACTGGGTTTAGGAACAAATGAGCATGAGTCAGGAAAAAGTATCTGAAGTTCAATACAATCTTATTAAAAATTGAGTGTTTTCCTTCATTTATATAAAGAACTTTGGCTAAATTATCATTGCTTTAAAATCTGGGGTTCAAACTTTAATCAACACTGTTTCTCGTGAAAGATGACAAATGCTTATGGCGGGAGTAGTTAGTAATCATTGCACATGACTTTATTATCAATACATATTTCTTTAGTTGTTGGACAAGACTTATGAAACTGCAGCAAGGAATTTCTTGTTGTCATCCAGGGCAGCGTTTCTCAACCTTAGCAACTTTTAAGACAGATGGACTTCAAGAATAAATAAAATACATGATAGGATGATGAAGTGAAAGAAACTGTGGATGAGAAACAAATACATGCAAGGGAATCATTAAAAATGATGAAAAATATGAGGAAGAGAAAAAGATAATACATAAAGCATATAAGAAAAAATTAGCTACAAATAATAATGTCAAGGAAAGCAAGAAAGATAAGGCTAAAAGACAGAGTAAATGCAAATCAATTTTTGTAGTAATGTGTTAATCAGTATTTAATTAGGGGGTAATATGTTTATATATGATGGGGTTTTTTGATGCACCTTTTTAAATGTCTTAATTGTTTTGTGTTTTTTTTCTTTTTTTCTGATTTTTTGGAGTTTTGAATTTTAACTTTGTCTTGAATAAAATAAAAACAGAGACAAACATTTTTGCATGAATGTTATAAAAAAATGTAAGAGGACAAAGAGGGGTAAACAAGGAGTCCTCAAGAGAGTGAGTAGAATTAAAAAGAGAAGTGATTACATGATTTGAAACAAAACTAAAATGAGCGAATGCTGGATGGAATATTTTAAAGTTTTCTATATGAATTACACGATGACGAACAAAATGGTAATAATGCTATCACTCAAAGTTCAAGACAAATGATGAAACCAAAAATAAATGCTGTGAGAAATGAAAAGATTGTAAGTATGGATTATGGAGAGATGGTTAGGCAAATAAATGTAATAAATGATAATATAATAACCCAAGAAATGTTCAAAATATGAGTGTTATCTTCTGGAGTGTTTCTGTAACTTTGTTTATTATACTTTTATTCATTAAACATGAAACTCAGTCAACCGAAAATTTAAAAATGTATCACAAATATTACTGACTGGCACTGATGGCTGATACGGGTTGCTGCCAGCATCCTAGGTTATTTGTTTATTATTATTATATGAGTAATTATTATTACTCATATAATATGTTATATTAATAATTTATTGTTGTTGTTGTTGCTGTTGTTGTTGTTGTTGTTGTTATTATTATTATTATTATTATTATTATTATTATTATTATTATTATTATGGTTGTTGTGGTTGTTATATTAGCCAGGATTTTTTAAAATTTATTTTTAAACATTTTATTAGCTTATAAAATAAAATACAAACTACAATACAAATTCTTTTCTGTAACTTGGTTAATGCATTTGGGATTACTGCATTTATTTATTTCTAATTGGAAAGTACACCATTATTGTTCCTCAATACCAAGTGTTGTTACAAGTGTAAACAAAAAGCTACAGGAAAAGAAATGTGTTACTTTTGCCTGAGAAGCTGTTTGGTGGAATTCTGATCCAAGAGGTAGAAAAAATGAGAATGAACAACATTTGGAAACATAATGTAGTTTTATGCTAGTTGAGTGGTGGGCAGAACAGATTTCTGCTTTTTGTGAGGTGACTAAGAGATGGATTTGAGAAAATTTAGTGTACAGGGGCACCTCGGCATTTGACTGCTTCAAAACTCCTCAAATTTACTTGAAGCATTTTGATGTGAAAATGCTCTCCAGCTGTTTCTTTGGTATTCAGGGCCCTGCAAAAGGAAGAGGGAGATGGCCACACAGGGCAGACAGGAAGTCGGCCATGCTGGAAAATTTACTGACAGGAAAAAGGACAGGTAGAAAGTTTTTTTCCTGACCAAAACAAAGCATCGTGTGGTAAGTCACCTGGTTTGTTTGTTTGATTTTAGTATCCATTAGGCCTCCCAGAACCAATTAACACTGAATACTGAGGCATCACTAGTATTTGATATATTTTTTAAAAAGCATATGATAAAGTAAATAGGCTTTTTGAGTTATGGTGATTGGTTGCTGAATAAAATGTAGCAGGTATACAATGTAAATAAACACCTGTGAGGAAAAAAATAGAATACTTAATAACTGGTTCAGTGTGGTAAGATAATGATGTGGGACGTCCTCTTGGTTGTTTAATGTATTTATGGATAAACATGTGGAAAGATTGTGTTGACTTGGAGATTTTTATTTATTTATTTTTTTGGTAGGGCCATACATGCGTGTATAATTTTATAGGTAGACGATACCGTGTTGTTGGGTGGGAACCTGAATGATTTGAGGTACAGATCACCTCTGTATAGGAAAAGTGAATTCATGAAGAAAAAAAGCCAAGGAATCAGTGGTTGGACGAAGCTAATGATTTAAAAAATAATGCAGTGGATAAATCAATGTATAGACTTGGTGGAATTAAGAATGGATTGCAATAGAAGAAAGATATGGAGAGTTACAGTAAACATGTTGGTGTAAAGTAAGGTAGTTGTATTTCCTTTTCTTTCTTTCTTTTAATTTTATGCTTTTCATTTCTTTCATTTACTATCTGCTATTCTTTGTGTACTCTGCGTATTGTTGTTTTTTTATTAAAGGATAATGTAAAGGAAATGGATAGAGGCAGGCAGGATGATATTTGATTTAGACCGTGATCTGCTTTACAGGCATGTTTAATATCACTTGTCACCTTTGACACAGATTACTTCTTTAATAAAGAAAAATTATTTGATGGAAAAGTAGTTGTCGCAATCAAATAGGCTATTTATCCCTAGAATTATAAACACATTAGTATTTTCTCATGGGATGAATAGAAAATATGACCTAAACTTCCAACTGGGATTAATCAAAAGTAAAATATTAACAAGTAATTGATCCAATAATTGGCTACAATTAAAAATGTTGCCTGAAAAATTGAATGAATGAACATTATAGGGAGATAACAAGGGAAAAGGTTTTAGAACATTCTTCTCCCAGTAAGTCCCTCTTTCATTGTGGAAAGTGTGGAGAAGACTATTCCAAATGATAGGATAACAGAGTTGGAAGGGACCTTGTAGATCATCTAGTCCAACCCCCCCCCCCCGCCCAAGCAGGAGACCCTGCACCATTTCTGAAGATGGCAGTCCAGTCTCTTCTGGACTGCCATCTGTCCATCTGTCCACCAAAGCTTCCAGCGATGAAGCTCCCACAACTTCTGATACTATAGTATTTAACATAATTACATGTTATGGAACATCTGTTGCCTCTTCTCTGAAGAGGTGAGTAAACTAGGCCATAAGATGAGATAGAAGGTCAAATGTGAGGGTACTTCAAGAGAAAAACGTGGCCACAACTGTGCTCTGGATGTGGCACCAGACATAATTGGCAGGACATTTTGGTTGTGAATGTATCTACGGCACATGAGGTGGCAACCACAGTGAGATCCAAGGCTGATCCAAAAGAAAGAACCACAGATCAAGGTTGAAGAACCCCAACAAGCTCAGAGAGAGAGATTCAAGGAGCCCACAGCTCAATCCTGAGCAACAAATATTCTTTGCAAGTGGTAGACACGGCAAAGGAAGATTCTACCAAGACTTGACTCCACACACAACTGACATAATCGAGCCATAAATAAGGTAGCACACCTTTCATCAGATTGGACAGAGGACAATTGCTGTCTTTGGCACTTCTCTTACGCCTGGAAACCCATTGAGATAAGTCCAGGTTAGCCTTCAGCACCAGAGTCAATCAATTTGGTGGTCTTCTGGCATCCAAAGGCCATCCAACAACCCCAGAAGCCTTCCTTTCTGAGACCCCACAACCACTACTGGCCAATGGGACCCACAACCACTACACAACCACTACTGGCCAACTGGGACAACACCCCTCACCCCTCCTTCCAACCCGAAGCCCCCCAGGGGAGGAAAAAAAAAACAACCCCAACATCCAGCATGCATCTGTACCCCTGTAGCTCCTCCCACCCGGACAACCCCTCCCACTCCCCTTGCCTTACAAGCAGCCCCTTCCCCGCCAGGCTCGGCAGACACCTTCCCCCCCCCTCCCCAAACCCTCCATTCCCAGAAGAGGAAAGGAAGAGGAGAAGCAGAGTGTGTGGCGCCGGCCAAGACTTCGCTGCTTCTTCCCCTTCGGCCACTTTACCTGGACTTTTCCGCCCACCCCCTCTTCCCCAGGGGAAAGCGCCCGTCCGTCCGGGGGTAGTCCAAGCTCTCCCCCACCCAAGACCCCCTGTCTCCCCCCCCAACCACCACCCCAGGCCCCCCGATGGGAGTCAGCAGAGGGAGGGGAGGGCTCCATCGCTCCCTTCCCTCCGGCTCAAGCCGCGGTGGCGGCGGCGCCTGGCTCTGCCTTTCGCCTCCCCAGCCCCGCGCCGCTTCCTCCGGCAACTCCGACGAAGCCGCCCCGGGTCCCCTTAGCCTTAGCAGCAGCAGCAGCAGCAGCAGCCGCCTCGGCCGGGGCGATCTCTCCTTAACCCGCCCTGCCTCCCTTCCCCTTCCCTCCCGTCGCCGGCTGGCTGCCCTCGAGAGAAGCCCGGCCAAGCTCCGCGTACCTCGTAAAGGTCCCCCGAAGCCATGCTGGGCTGGGGGTGGGGGGGTGAGTGGGTGGGTGGTTGGGTGGGCAGCGCCGCTCTCCTCGCCGCGGCTGGCTCTCTGCGTGGGCTGGGGTGCGTGGGGGGTGTTTTTCCCCCCCACTCGCTCGCCGACCCGAGCGGGGAAAAAAGAAGAATATATCTATTTAAGAAAAAAAAAAAAACCACACACACACACACACACAAAAACCACCCGACAACAACTGTGCCGCCGTGCAGAATGACAGGCTTTGGGGCTCCTGTGCGCAGAATCGGAGGCGAAGGCAGAGGGCGAGAGGCGGCTGGCAAGGCTGGCGTAACCGGGAGCAGCGGCGGCGGGGAAGCAGAGAGCAGCGCTCCGGCGGCGCCGTGTGTGTGTGTGTGTGTGTGTGCCAAAGAGCCAGGGAGGGTTGAAGGCGCGCCCCCGCGCGCGTGGCTGCGCGCGGGTGAGACTCTGCCTTCAGGAACCTCCCCCCCCCCACAACTCACCCACCCACTCACCCCCGGTCCAGGCGACACAGAGCGGGTTGGGTGGGGGCGACGGGATTAAAAAAGAAGACAGGCGGGTTCTCCCCCGCAGCCCTCGACGCCGCTATCCGGACCCCCCTCCTGGGCAAAGTCCCCCCCTCCACTCCGCCCATCCATCCCGCACCTGGGGCCACTTCGGATACTGGATCCTGGGGAGCCTGACTTGCTCCCCACGGAGCTGAGTTAAAGGGTGGGGTGGTTGGTTGGGTTTGTTCATTGGCTTGGGTGGGTAGGGTGGGGATGGAGAAGGGGGGTGTTGAAAGTCTGCACCCACCCCCCACCCCCAAGCCTAACCTGGGCTTGCTTGCTGAAAGAAACCACTCAGGACCTGCGAGGAAGAAGAGGAAGAGGAGGAGAAAAAGTGTCCTGCCGTCTTGGGCTGGGCTTCCCAGAGAGGAGCCACATGTAGGCATCCACACTCAACCTCCGGTGCCACCGGGGTGGGGTGGGTGGGTGAAAGCTTGGCTTTTTTCAGATACGAGGGAGGTCCTCTCCATTCTTCCTTCCAAGATCTTCTCTGATGGGGTAGAAGATCTGCAGGAGATGAAGGTGGGGACGATTCCTGTAGTTCCAGAAGGTTATGGATTATCCAGGGCCCAGGTGGTATCTCCTAGGCTTCGATCTGCAGGTTTCACCAGGGAAATGAAACAGAGGCTGAGTCTGCTTGAAGCATCTTGAATCGACAGAAATGTTGTAGGCCAGGAGCAACCTGTTGGATGGTCTCACTTAGGCCGGTCTCAATGAGTGTAGGAGTAACTCTTCCAAAGTAATAAGCCCTACCTGATGTGGCCTGGAGTCACAGACCAGAATGTACATCTAAGTCAGAGTCCCAACTTCCCCTGAGGGAATTCTTGAGTTGAAGTCCGCCCATTTTAAAGTTGTTAAGGTTGAGAAATACTGTTCTAGCCATGCTTGAGGACAGAAAGAGGAACCACAGTTTCTCCGGTAAATTGCTAGAAAGCTCTCAAACGTTCAGCTAGATTCTACTTTAAGCCAATTTTTCTGCTTCTGGAAAACCTTCCAGGTGACATCTCTTCAGATTTTTGGACAGTGCTTTTTTATCCTCACTCCCTTTGAAGAATGAACATGCTTGGCTCCCTCATAGCTTCTAACCGTTTCTAACCTGGTGTCAACCCTGACTGATGATTTCTGGAACCAGCTGCAATTTCTCTCAAGCATTCTAAGGACAGTTTGATCTTGGAACTTTGTTTCCAGACAAAATGTATGCCTCAGCCTTCGGTTAAAACTTTTTCACATCTGGGACATAGATATCCCCACCTGTGACCAAATTTGGAATACTGCATCTAGATCTGGTCACCACGATACAAAAAAAAAAAAGATGTTGAGAGTACACAGAAGAGCAACAAGATGTTAAGAAGAGGTATAGAAGTGAAACTGTATAATGGATGATTGAGAGAACTAGGTATGTCTAATCTAATAAAGAAAAAGACCTGAGGTGCTATGATAGCTGTCTTCTAGTACTTGAGGAGTTGTCACAGAGAAGAGAGGGTCAACCTATTCTCCAGGGCAGGAGAAGAAATGACAGACGGAAGATCTTTAGAAGACAGCCAACCTAGAATTAAGGAGAAATCTCCTGACAGAAGAATTAATCAGTGATGACTTGCCTCCAGAAGTTGTGGGTGCTAGAAGAGACTGGACAGCCATTTGTCCAGAATAGTTTAGGATCTCCTGCTTGAGTAGGGAGTTGAACTAGAAGACCTCCAAGATCCCTTCCAGTCCTATTATTCTATGTTCTATGCTGGTCTTTGCTTCCTGAAACTCAACTACTTCGTTCACGCTTACACTCAGACATGTACTCTGCCAAGACCCTGAAATGTTTCACTAATTCAAAAGAAAAGCACATTTTCATCTGCTCCTTGATGATTTTGTGCATCATAAATCCAACCAATAGAAATGATCCAAACGCCGAGAAGAGAATGCCTTCCATGTAGTAAATAAATGTGAGTAGCAATCCCTGGCTTAGTAATTCAAGGCATGGCGATGGCCAAAAGATTGTTGCCATTCCTGCAGTGAAATTCCTTCAAATTTCATTAAAAAAAAGTTGATTCCATCTGGATTACAGTAAAAAATATTCTGGAATCCTTCCCACCTTACTGCTGAAGCAAAGAATGTAAAAACAACATCAGGCAACTACTTTGCCTGGAAAAGATGAGATCTTCTAAAGTTCCAGTGGGTTTTTCTTCTTCAGTTTTTTGGATCCCATCAATACAACTGGGACTGAATTTATTAATATTTCTATTATTAGTATGGTAGTAGCATTTGAACTACAGATTCCTAGGTATGTACCAAAGACAAATTCCTTGTGTGCCCAATCACACTTGGCCAATAAAGAATTCTATTCTATTCTATTTAGTGTAAAACAGGGTTTTCATATACGATATACTCTTCTCGCCTCATAACCAAGAATATGCAAAAGCACCCTATAGCACTCACCAGAATTTCTCTAAAAAGCTCTTCCCTTTCAAAATTTGAATATTCAAAAACAAAATCTATTTCTAGCGCTGATGGTGTTACCAAGTTGGATAATGACATGCCTGCAAGAAAACAACCAATTTCGGAGAGCACCAAATACCCCACAGTCCTCCTCCTCCTCCCCCCACTCTTCTTCCTCCCCCCTCCTCCAGAGGTGGTATTCAGCCAGTTTGGGCCTGTTCACCCGAACCGGTAGCAGAAATCATGGGTGGGCCCGCCAGTAGCAGAAATCATGGGTGGGCCTGCCCCGCCCCACCCCGCCCCGCCCCGGTTCTATACCATTCTATTTAGGCAAGTTTTTGAGGCTGGGAGCATGCGCGGAAGACTGGATGCATGTGTGGAAGGCGAACTGGGTACGCGCACGTACAAAGCAAGCGAACCTGGCACATGCACGTACAAAACGAGCGTGTGTGTACGGGGTGAACCAGTAGTAAAATAATCCAAAACCCCCTGCCTTCCTCCTTATCCCATTCCTTTCTAGCACTGATGATGTTATCTAGTTGGATAATGATATGTCTGCAAGAAAACAACCAAGCTCAGGGAGCACCAAGGACCCCACAAAAATTCTTGTATTAAACTGACATAGTAAGTAAAATATATAGGATTTTTTTTTCTGTACCATACTCATTATATTGAGGTTAAAACACGCAACCAAAATTAACACGTCTTCCCCTGCCTTCTCTTGTCTTCCATCAATAAGTAGCAAACTAAGCAGATTGAAAACTGAGGCTGATTTTTCAAGTCCCAATTTATTTTTTTATTTTAAATTTATTGGGTGTGCATGCTGCTAAACCCAGGAGACTCACCACGGCTTACAAAGACAGACATTGGTGGTAGTAGCATTCGTCTATTTTATTATTATTAAATCAATTTATACTGTTGCCCAATTGATAAGCAACTCAGGGAAGGGTACACAAAGAAAAACAAAGCATAACAAAGAAACATTAAAAACAAACAAATATACTCAAAAGAAAAACAAGCATAAGAAAACTTTTAAAAGATATAAACATGAAAACAAACATGTCAGAGTATGAATATTCATGGACTGGAATAGATCAGCCAATGGGGAACGAATGGAGACATGGTAACAAGGTCAGCCAATGAATAGGCATGGTAACAGGCTCAGCCAATGAAGGATGTTTAGAAACAGAAACTTAAACTAGAAGTCTGGGCGTGGCTTAGCAAACTGAGTCTGTGCAGAAGCTTAACTCCCTTGTATAGAGGATGCTGTCTTTATATTAAGCTCTGTGCTCAGCTCTGAAATGAAACAAGCCTGGGCTTGTCTGCTCTGCTGAAATGAAACTAACTGTTCTCTCCTGCCTTTTGTTTTGCTTGTAACTGCTACTATATTGAAGAAGAATCTATATTGGTATTATACATTTATCTTCATGTATTACTATGTATATAAAGAAGTTAATGAATCCTGCTGCATCAGTCTGCCTGTGTGTGCTTTCTGGATTTAATTTCTGCAACAAAGTCTGACAAAACATAGAGAGTCGATTTGATCTAGTGGTTAAGGTATTAGGCTAGAAACCAGAAGATGATGAGTTCTAGGAGAGCCTTAGACCTGAAAGCCAGATGGACGACCTTGGACTGGTGCCTCTCTTTCAGTCCAACCTACCTCATAGTGTTGATGTTGTAGAGAAAATAGGAGGAGGAAGGAGTATTAGGTATGTTCACTGCCCTGAGTGACTTATAAAAATAATAAAGGCGAGATATAAGTAAATATTTAAATAATCGAATATTGCACCCAAGTCAAATTCATCCAACCAAAATCAATCGGGATGGATAAAACCTCTTGCATCAGTGCCTGAGGAATAAGCTTAGGTGTTAAGTGTTTTGAAAGTCAGGTAAGATACAGGATCATCAATCTCAGGAAAACTGCTAACCACAGGGCAGGCCTGGCATCAAAGAAAACATCTTCTGAGTCCCATCAGATGACATTGCTTAATTGATGGGACCTAAAACATGTCCATCCCATCTGATCTTATGAGACAGGCAACAGTAATTGGAGGCAGGCAATCTGTAAATAACCTGGGCCTGCATCAGGAAACACTTAGAACAATAGTCAACAACCAGCATCTTGAATTTCATGGCAAAGAGGAAGTAGATTGCTAGAACATAAGACACAGAATAATAGAGTTGGAAGGGACCTCAGAGGGCTTCTAGTCCAACACCCTGCTCGAGCAGGAGATCCTATACCATTTAGGATAAATGGTTGTCTAATCTCTCTTTGAAACCTCCAGTGATGGAGCAGCCACAACTTCTGAAGGCAACTTCTGTCCCATTGGTTGATTGTTAGGAAATTATAATTCTCACTGC